GTGCGCCACAGCTGTGCTGGTTTAGTCGGATGGAAACAATGCTTTTGATCTTGTACAGTCAATCAGTACACACAGCATTGCAGCCATGTGACAATTTGTATATAGCTGAGGCATGCCTATGTGTTCCAGAGCATAATAGCCTTCAGCCTAGATACAATGGAATGATCCAGGCAACAGTCAGTCCTCTCCTAGGATCTCCAACAGTAGGATATCCTCTCCAAAAGAGCCAGTTCTGTCAACTGGAGTGAAATCGTGGTAATGATGTTTAGCTTATAGTAAAAAAAGATAGTAATGAAAGAGTAACCTCTGAGACCCAGTAGCACCCTCAGCCCTGCAGTAGATAGATTCCTGCGAGGTATGTGCTAGGGCAATGTAACCAGCTCCCCAAGTACTTTGAAGTAGTGATTGGGTAGCATTGATCCAGCTCTTTTGAGCTGGCCTTTCAGCCAGTGGAGGAGATCTTCATCAACCAGAGATCTCCCTCCCAGCTCTTGTGTTCCTACAACTGAGCTCCCTGGCGGAGATTCATAGCTGACGATGCAGTACCAGTGGTGGCATGACGATGCAATTCCGCATCTTGGTGGTGGTTATGCGGTTCTCCAGGATGAGAGTGCGGAGGATGTGGTGGCTCGATTGGAGAAGGGCGATCTCTTTGGCTTTGAGCTTGACAAGGAAGGCAACGTTATTGACTTGTTGGTGGATAAATATGAAGTTCAATTTGATGACAATGGGGACGAGATTGAAGATGCGAATTTCATTCCAGAGGAAGAGGATGGAAAGGTGAGTTGCTGTTTGAACTGCTTTTATATGGTCTTATTTCTAACTCCCTTTGAACTGTTGCCATTTTTGGATTCCTAGCTTGCTGATGAGGTGTAAGAGTGAGTGTTGCAAGGCATGCAACAAAGGGGACTATGGCTGTGTGTTTGTTGAGTGTGGTTGGTTGTCTTTATATTGAGTCTGTGAGTGGTTTGTGGGCTTCACGGGAAGATCTTTCATGGCGTCGGAGGATGGAATCTTTTGCGACGACGGTGATGGGCTTCACGGGGAGATATTTCACGAGGATGATGGGATCTTTCGTCGCGATGGGATCTTCCAGGAATTTGCGAGCCATGCACATGGGATGGCATCGTGCTTCGGCGAGCTTCTCACTCACCGTCTCACCAGTTGCATGGTGGACTGCTTGTGAGAGAAAGCATCTCTTTATTACCGGGTCAACAGGTGTTTCAGTGGTCAAAGAGGGTTTGAGCGATTAACGGGGATTTATTGTGTTATTTACTTTAGATCAAAATTGTTTCGCAGATTGACAGGCTTGTTTCTTTTTTTGTTTCGCGGAACTGTGATTAGAATGTGTGACTTAAAGAAATGGTTTAACTTCAATCCCATTTCCGAAAAGAAATGTCTCGGATGCGAGGCGAGCCTCACTTTTTGCCGAAAAAGTACATTAACATGATAGACAACTCAACTCAAAGTGACCATTTGGCGATGCTGGAATGGGTATTTGTAGTTGGTGAACCTTCTAATCGGGCTACTGTAGTGTGGTCCTGACAGTCAAGGGAAGCCACCCCGGCAAAGAAAGAACAACATTTTTTTTGGGATGACACAACTTAACCAAAGGTACGGTATAGACGCAACCACAAGAGATCTATTGACCACCCAAGCAGCAGCTTTAGTTCAAGTGCTCCAAGGGGCAACTAAACCTGGTGCTCCCATGGTCAAACTCTTTCTGATTCTGATTTCTATCGATAGCTCCTCACCTCGAAAGTCTTGCAAGTAACCAAGTGGTCGGTAGAGTAGCGGCACTTCAGTTGCAGAATCAACGGTCATGTGTATCGTTAAGTAACAAGTTCCCTTTCGAAAGATTTAGATTGATTCATGGATAAAAGAACCGTTGAAGTTACTAAGGTTAAGGTTAAACTGAATGCTGCCACAGTACTGCATGTACTCGTACTACATGTAGGTATTGGTAGCTAGTACCGGTACCGGCAACAAAGCATACTAGCTAGTACGTCCCTCAAGTCCATCAGTGAAGGCACAGCACTGACTTCTCTTCCTCATTGAATTTGTATGGGAAACAGGAGAGAAATCCAAGCTTGGCTGACAAGAGTGGTGTTGGATCGATTGAACGACCGGTACGGTACGAGGTAAGCCTATTATCAAGAGTGATATTGAAGGTGCAGATGCGAAAGCCATCCCTCATTGAATTCTATGGACCATGGGATGGCAGTCAGATCTCGGCCGTCAACAGGTGAATTGTTTTAATTATTCGAATCGCCACACCTCTGTTATTCAAGCCAACCTTCTCCGGTGCAGATTCGAAAGCCATTCCTCATTGAATCCTATGGACCCTGGGAAGGCAGTCAGTTCTCGGCCCATGACGGCCAAGTTGGTGCAATTTGAATAACAAGGGTAAGTTTCCGGACGTGAGCAGTTGAGCACAGAAAACAAAACTTTCTCTGATGTACTGCTGATGGCCGAGGAAATCCCATTGTCGAGTCCTTTTCGGTCGATCGATCGCTCCGGATAGTAACACGGAGGAGATTGTTAACTCAAGCCCTATCAACAGCATGAACGGAGGAGTCGAGTCATTGAAGACGCAACAGGAGTGAGGAGACAACAATACACAAGAGAGTGGATCCTCCCATTGGATTCATCCCTCCAGTGTTATTTCCTAGTGTTTTGTTGGTGATTCCTGTGTCAGTGAAAGCGTTACAGTTCCTCCCACGACTCAGAGTATCCGTGAGTAGATTGAGTCATGCTTTATGAGTCAACACGATGGAACAGAGAACGTTGGCAAGAACACGTTCTCAACGAAACCAAAGGACATGGTAAATTGGAGTATTCAACAGGAGTAAAGCATCCTGCCAATGAACCGTTTCCCGCAGATACCACGTTGACTTCCGTATGAATCAAGATCAACTACCACGATGCATTGATCTAACACGCTACGAACTAGCTTCACTGATCGCATCAATCAAAGCTCACAACACAGATTATGAATTACTAAGAAGCGAACTTTGCATTTACTTTGCACTCGTCTTGAATAGTTGCAGCTGATCTCGTTGGGTGGTAGCTACCTCTACAAGATCCCTCTATTCAAGTAGTATTTCCTCACGTTAGCATCAGTACCCATTTTCCTGTGTGAACAGTTTTTTGGTACCTGGATTGACAGTAGTCCTGTACTCATTGTAGACTAACCGTGAGGTAATCGAGTGTAGCGAGTAAGTCCGAACCTGAGTGTGTTCGTTACAGCTGCCACTGTCGCTGATGTAACTATACCGTACCGGTAGCCCACTACAATGGCTGGATTGACTATATTCGGTTGTACATGTATTCGTCATAAGGATCCAATGCGAGGCAACGGAGTGTAGGGAGCAAAGCCGAACCTGAGTGTGTTCGGTACTGTTGCCACTGTCGCCCGGTAACTATGCGGTAGCCAGCTACAATGGCTGGATTGACAATTTTCGGTAGTACATGTATTCGTCATAAGGATCCCATGCGAGGTAAAGGAGTGTACATATCGAGCAAAGCTGAACCTGAGTGTGTTCGTTACTGTTGCCACTGTCGCCGATGCAACTATATGGCAGCTGGTTACGATGGCTGGGTTGACAATATTTGGTTGTGCATGTTGTCATCATAAGGATCCAATGAGAGGTACCAGAGTCTAGCGAGCAAAGCCAAATTTCAGTGTTTTCATTACAGCTGTCACTGTCGCCGATGTAACTATACGGTAGCTGGTTACGATGGCTGGATTGACAATTTTCGGTAGTACATGTATTCGTCATAAGGATCCAATAAAAGGTACCGGAGTCTAAGGAGCAAAGTCAAACCTGAGAGTGTTCATTACAGTTGCCACTGTCGCCAATGTAACTATCAGGTACCAGGTACGGTACAGGGTAGCCAGTTCGTTATAAGGATCCAATGTGAGGTAACGGAGTGTAGAGACTGGAGACCAACGCCGAAGAAAGAAAAAAAACGAATTTCCCGTTCCGGTGAAGCAAATTTATAGGGATAGAGCTAATCATAAGCCAACAAAACTGGAAATTGAAGGTTAAGGGAATTAGACTAGAAGTCGGGGTTGTCGCTAGTAGGGCTAGCTTAAAAGAAGGTGACAATGAGGGAATGATAATGGGCGGCAACGCACGACGCAGTCGGGGGTTGTCGCCAGGGCTAGCTAGCTAACCGCCGACAGTTAGGCAGTTAGAAAGCAAGCCGAGACCTCAACTCAGACTCGTCCCGCCAGACTATCAGACCCTGGCAAACAAGAGGTGATACACTGTACTTGGAGACTGAGTCACTGGAGCTTTGGTGTTTTCCTCTATTCCACTCTGCTGCCTTACTTGACTGCTCTGACGTAATATTCGTGATTGAACCTGGATTCGATTCAACAACATCGCTCGGGGCAGAAGATTGCCTCTTGACTCTCTTTATGATGGCTACTGGTACCTCCTTAGAGCTGCCCGAAGATGATGGTGACAGTGGACCCGAGACCATCACCTTACAAGTTCCAGAAGGAGCTGAAGCGGGAGATGCTCTTTCCTTTGCTGTTGATGGCGTTGAAATTGAGATACCAGTTCCCGAGGGATCGAAACCTGGTGATGTCCTCGAGATCCAAGTTGGTAAACCTTCTGCCAAGGCATGCGACAAACAAGATGATGACGACAAGATATCCATACAAGTTGGTGAAAAAGAGCTCCAGTTTACGACAGTGTGTAATACGAAGGCAAAGGCCACAGACGACAATCAGAACACAAAAGGGTCTGTGGACGACGGTACCTACGCTCATCCGTGGCCCTCGGGAATGGCAATGGCTAAATTCTTGGGGACAGAAAAAGCCAAAACTTTGTTTCAATCCTTATTTGCTGCAAAGAAGGATGGAGGCAATAATAAAAAATCTGAAGGGTTGCGTGTTCTAGAGCTAGGATCCGGCTTGGGATTGGGGGGTCTGTCCTTTGCAGCTCACTACACCGAATTGACAAAGGACAAGTCTTTGCTTCTACCACCCTTGAAAGAAACAATTCTCTCTGATGTGCCCGATGGGATTGCGCTCCTTCGGCAGAATGTTGAACTCAATGCCACACTTCTTCGCCCTCATCTAATCGAAGCAAAGCCTCTCCTTTGGACAGCAGAAGACGAGCAAACGGCAACGCAAAACACATCTTCCAGCGGATCCCAACAAGACAAGTTTGATCTACTCTTGGCGTCAGATTTGCTTTACAATACCGATACCATACCTGTCCTAGTGTCAACCATCAAAAGACACCTCGCAAGTTCGGACCATTCTGCACTGCTGATTGCTGTGCGATGGAGAAAGCCACAATTGGAGCGAGCTTTTTTTGAGGCATTGGAAGGGTGGCAGGAAAACCATTGGCACTTTATCCATACGCTGAACTGTCCCCTCGGCTGGGAAGACTTTGGAGATCCCAATTGTGAGGCATCCAATCGATACTTTCATCAAACCATGGTGGCTGTACAAGGCAAGCCACATTCGCTGGCGGGCATTCTGGCCTCAGGAGAGGAGGGCGATGCACAACCTTTGCAGGATCAAATGACTGACGACGAGGCAGATGCCTTTGAGAACTGTCACATTCAAATCTATTGCCTGAGTCGGGTGGGTCCAAGTACATGTAGCCCAGACGCGGAAGGAGGCGGCAAAAGGTCGGTTGCTGATTCTTCAGATGGACCAGAGGATCGCAAGCGGATTCGATCATCGTGAAGCTTGCTGGCGATGTAGTTCCTCGTGATAATTGTCGTGTGTGCCTTGACCGAGATCTTCAGGTTTTCAAGCTGGCGTAGCGACAGTCATCGCGGTAACACCAATAGAGCAAATTGTGCCTGAGAATCACAGGCGGTTTAACATGCAAATGTACATTATTAGGTGTTACTGCAATCAAGAAGAAGATAGCTGGGATGCATTACAACTGATCCCTTCTTCTTGAAGTTTTCCAATATGTAAGAGGGTTCTCGCCCCGCCTCCGTCTTTGGTAGTTATGAGCGGCATAGCTTTCTTTCGTTTTAGCTTTGCCTCTGTTCAGCAGTCCTTGCTACCTGGCCAAGTGAAAAGAGATCGTAGAACACCGAGAGAACTCATCTTGTCGTATTTTGTGTTCTCACTCTCAAGTCTCTTTCCGCTCTGCCTCGACTCGACTCTCTCCAAATGTGTCATAGGCCAGACTCTTACGCAAAGATGCATTGGGAGAGCTGCAAGGTTTGTTGCCATGCCAAAGCTTTGAAGATTTGTGTACAAGCATATCCAGAAACAACGGGCACAACAAAGTTGTCATCAATATGCAATGGTGGCACTCGGACTCCACAAATCTTCTTTGGCAGCGTAATGGCTGGAGTTGGTACCGCAAGATCGGCCAAGGAACCAGCCATTCCCAGTGCCAACGATGCTAGTACGAGGGCTGCCTGACCACCTGGAACATTGCCACCAAACTTGGCAAGCGACAGGATGCGATAGTTGAAGGGAACACACATCAACGCGCCTCCGAGAAAACCGAGAATTCCCTTGTTGCGACCAAATCCACCCAATTCACTGTTTGTTATAAACGACGAAAGTTAGAGATGCGACAAGACAGGGTTTGTTTCGCTTCACCTGCAGGACTTACCCTTGAATTCGGGACCAGCGTACATGACGGGTGGCACTACCGAAGTAACTCGCACTGGGATCAGCAATGGCCAACTGGATAATGCCCAAAGTCGCTGCACTTTGGGGGAAGAGAGCTGCCGTAACGGTTACTCCCGTAAAGAAATAAAAGGAACCAGTGAATTTGCCATCCATTTCGCTTTGCCTTAGAGCACTTCCCAAAACAAAGTGGAGTGCTTTGTTCATCCATCCAAAGTTCTTGCGATAACGCAACAATTCCATGAGCAGAGTGGCACCGCTCAAGACAGCCATCGCGGGCACAAAGGTTTCTTTGGGGATAAGGTGGTTCAATGCAGCAAACAACAATCCCCACGAGGCGTGCATCACTTTGCGACTGAGATTGGTAGAGTTGCGACACTATAAGGGGTAAGAGGTAGCGATATTTTGTGAAATAGAAGCAAAAGTTAGCGTTTCATCTCCTGGAAATAATTCAAACATTGCATTGTTCAATCCATCAGATGTTCAGCCAAAAAGCAAGTCAACCAGTCGACTCAAGTTTTGAACCCTGCAAAGCTTGCATGCTCACTGTTTTATTACAGCAATGCTCTTGGCCATTCACTCCTGAACCCTGCGACGAACAGACACTGGCTCACCTTGAGTTTCTTGGCAATTCTCTTGTGAAACTTCTCCTTTTGGGGTTCTGGCGAAATCTCCACCATATCAGTGCCTTCCAGCTCCTTGGTTTCTGGCTCCATTGGCTCCACTGGCTTCATAATTGTTACAGAACTGGATACATCCACGGTCCCATTGTAGGGTAGCGTCGAAAACGACGTTTTTGCGCTTCGTTTTTTGGTAGCTGTCGATCCACCACGGGCCATTAGTTCCGCCGAGTTAGTTGTCGTGGTATCCCCACCTCGTACTCCCAAAGTCATGGCGGTCTGCCATGCTACCCCTCTCTTGGAGTCTCCCAAAAATCGAGCCTTTGGCTGTGGAAAATTCCAGCCTCTCTGACTACACAATGATCCTTGTGGTAGCAACACTACCAGGCATGACACAAGGACAATGCATTGCTTGGTCTGTAGTAACATGGTTGTTGGTGCTGTGTTGAGAAAGGGAATGGCTGAGAGGGATTATTTTTGGTTTGAAGGTGTTTTTGTTTTTGTCTCTTTCCGAATTGTGGCGATTCGATTCGGGAGCCGAGCAGAGTACTGCGTCGATGTGGAGGCTGGCTTAGTGTGGTATCTCCAGAGGGAGCAGGCAAACAAGAATCATGTTTACGAAGATGAGGTAATTTAAGAAAAGTTGATTGTGCTGGTTCATCAAGTTGTCCCACATCTGGACATCAAGCAGTTCGAGTTTAAAAAGAGCGGAGCATTCAGCCTCTACGAGGTTGGAAGCTTCAACCAAAATAACTGCGACGCCGAATTGATCCAATACATTGATATCAAGGATAAATGCTCTTTAGAAGGGCTAGTTGGCAACTTGGGGGCTTTCCACCAGATTAAATCTAGCTACCGGTAGGGTGGGGCTTCCTTATCATACTTAGCATTGGCTACTACTGAGTATCTAGTACTGATAAGACTATGAATGCTTACCTTGAGTTGAACTGCATGAGTGAGTACTAGTATGTTACCAGCACCTCTACTAGTACCATGCCGCTAGAGTTTGCTCTGCAACGTGTACGAGTGCTGTGCCATACCGCTACTCCACTTCCTACATGTACCAATGATGTGTAGATAATTTATTACCCCATCTTTCTCGGACTATTCCAGTGTTCAAAGTGCTGAGGACCTCGATCCGACATGCTCTTTGGTTCAACCCGTCCAACGGACCAGCAATGTGCCGTGTGCCGAACCCGCTGGACGCAGGAGAAGTGACAAGGAACCACATCGGTTCTTTGTAATAGCCGAATTTGCCACGAATTGTCGCCACGTAACGCACCTCTTCTACCTCACTCACCTTTTTGGCCGAAAAAGATGTCGACGCAGGCTCATTTGTTTCTGAAGCAAGCTGGGTGCTTGTATATTTTAGAACAGAGTACGACTACCTGGTACTGCCTCGGAAGCTCCATTGGGTTGGCGTGGCAATGGATCCGGAACCTGATATCAGAACAGAAATAAGATCTCCACGTTAGCATGTGCGGTATGTGGCGAAGTTGGACTAACTTGCTTGAGACTTCGATTGAGGTTTGTGGTTTGTGGTTGGCTGCCCATTGACCTCGAGCCTTTATATTGGCCTGTAGCTGTTCAATGGCGTGCGCTTGCATCCATCTGCAATACTTCATCAGAAAATGGGTAAGCCTATAAATGACGCAATTCCAACTCTAGAGTTGGCGCATGGTTTGTCACCCCGATAGTGTGAATTCTGGGTCAATGTAAAGGGTTCGCGAATCCAATCTTCTGTGGTGCTTGTTTTAATTAAGTTGTTGCTTATCAAGCAAACTGATCAATGGCGTCCTAATGCTCGCACATCCATCTGCAATATGTCATTAGGAAAAGGGTAAGAATTCGATAAGAAATGAGGCATTTCCAACTGCTAGCTACCAGTACCGGTACAGGTTCATGTAGATGCGGATGAGCGGTTCTTGCTCCGATGTGATGTGTGGGTCAATGTAGGGTTTGTGAGTGCAATGTTCTGTGATACTTCTGTGAAGTAATTCCTTAGCACGGCTCTAAAGGCACGCCGATCAGAGCTTTCATCGACCCACTACCCACCCCAATCGGGAGCGGGGCTCTAATCTCTATAGTACAGTGCAAGCAAGGCAATGATGCCAAGTCCAGCCAGCCCCCTTCAAAGTGCTGCCAAAGCTTGAGCCGCAACCTCCAACTTTTTGTGAAATCATATGCAAGTGTCTGTACCGGTAGCTGGGCACCAGCCAGCCAGGAACTCATGAAAGGCGCTGGCAGCATCAATTGTCTTGTCAAGCAACCTTTGCTTAGTAGATAAGGATTAGGATTGGAAACATGCTGCCGCAAGTAGTATTATTGCTTGGTGTTGATTGGCAGTAGCGAGAATTGGTATTGATTGGGTTTTTGATTCCGCCTCGCTTGATTTGCAATCTGACGCAGTCTATCTTGCCTCGCTTGGAATAGTTGTGTTCGAGCAGTGTTCGAGACTAAATTTTCTCTCGACAGCAGGGTCCGTCATCTGAGATTGGCTAGCTGTATAGATACGGTAGGCTCTGCATGTCAATTGTCAATACCGGCACCAGTTACATGCTACCTGGTACTACTATGTACTACACAAACAGCTGTTCGATTGATGATTGTTATCTCAAAAGATCTCTCGCAATTAAAAAAGTGTTGCAAATATTGGCATCTGGGCACAGACTTACAACTCGGGTCCGACACCTAACAACATACAGTCGTACCTCTAGCTAGCTATTAGACTCACCCCAGGGAGCCTAGAGCTATTAGACTGCACTCCATGGGTGCTTGGGCGTTGAGCACGCAATGGCCACAGTGGAAGCGACTAACGACCGCACACATCTCGACATAGTTGGCATCATTCTCTAGAGGTTTTAGGCATCTATCTAATGTACAGTGGTCGTGAGAGCTACCCAGTGACGACCTTGCTCAATTGTTGGTGTGCCCCTTATTTGCAGGTGAAGTCACAGTAGTACAACATATCGGAACTGCACAAGAGTTGTGCGTCGCGGCAATCAATCAGCCGTCTTTCTTCCTGATCGCCTGTGAGCTGCCTAGTAGGTTTACCTCCGACTTGTTGGATTCTGACGTGAACGTCTGGTTCGACAAGATCGAGGCATCCTTCGAAGATGCCGTTCGTGGAAGTGTCTTGGAGCTTTTCCAGAACCACGTCTTTAGCTGCCTTTGCCTCGTCTTCCAATTCATACACCTCGGGTCCTCCTCCCAGCCGTCGCATGTTTCCATTGCCGCCGACCCAGTGGCCGCCACCGTTATTCCAAATACCTGCTCCCTCATCCAGTGCCGGCACCGTGAGGAACGATCGAACGTTGCCTTGCTGGTTGCTGCAATCGTAGTTCGCCGCTAACTTGTATTCGAATGCAACATTGTATCTCTCGCCCTCAACGATGCCCATAAGGCCAACGACGCATAGAAGCAAAAGAAGAATACCCATGATGTTGTTGTCTGTTACAAACTTGCTGCTGCCAAAAAAAATTATAACATAAGTTTGGTCAGGAGTTTTTGATGTGTGGGTGTGTGGGTTCACTTACTTCAGCACTTTTGGGCCTTGTTTTGGGAACAAGAGGCATTGACTTGGTGACCGGTGAGATGGTTCCGCTTGTTCCTTTCTTTCTAGTTCTTTCGCATTTTGATAATCAGACTCAAAGACTCAAAGCCTGTTCGAAGAAGAATGACTTAATGCAAAATGACTAAATGACTATTTCTATCCTAAATAAAAGTAGCTTATGTGGTTTTACAGGTTCATCGAGTGAGATGCTCTAGATCTCAATGCCAATTAATTGCTTTGCTACTGCCTTCCAGGGAGTTATTGGCTTGGCGACATGATTTTCAAAACCACATCCTTGGCCTCAATTATAAGATTAAGAAAAGCTGCTTAGGTATTCAACTACTTTGTAACGCAACTCAAATAGTTAATCTTAAAGCTAGGGCGATTTGAAGTCTTGATATTTTGAGTTAACAGCCTGATCGCAGTTCTCCTGCCCCTTTTTCACGATCAATAATAAGCCAATCCACGTAGCATTCTGAATGACCACCTACCATCTGCGCTTGACAAACCAACGCCCACAATTGGATGCGTGGGCGTCTGGCTAGTCTACAGTGTACGGTAGCTACTAGCTACCCAGTTTGGGTTACTATAATAAATAGAATTCTATTTTAAGGCTACTCTGAGTA